ATTAAAAAAACATATATTTATAAAGACTTCAATTATATAGGTGTTTCTGCGCAACGCGAGAGCATTCGCCTAGTACATACCTATAAAGCTGTCATTTTTCCTTGAACCTCATGCATTTAAAACCCTATAAAAATTTGCAAATACCTCATGCATTTGAAACCTACTATTTTAATGAATACCACTCAAAAATCTATTAATAAAGATTAGCAATTCAAAGGTTTTATAACTTATATAATATATTTAATAAACAATTAATGGATACTCTACTATAAAAATATCAATCTTTTTTAGTAGACACACAAATACAAACAAATACGAAATTCACAAAGAAAACAAGTTTAAAGTTTTTTGTGTTGGTTTGAGGGCTTTGAACAATTTTTTATGTCATGTTATTATGTTGAAGTTTTTAATTTGTAAGTTTGTTATTTACTAATTCTTTTTTGTATTTTCTTGATTTAGGTATTCTTTTAAGAATATCGTTGTATGTTGTGGTTGAAATTTTAATGTAAATTAGATTAGATTCATGTTATCGATTATATGGTATCGAAGGTGATATATAATATTTAATTAACTATTGTATACATGTTTGTATGTTCATGTTGCTTCAAAACAATAATTACTTAAAAATCATGGATATGTCATATTATCTATGCAAGCATTTTTTAAAATGCAAATTGTCTATACTATCACTTTATATTTTAATATATGTATAACATTTTAATTATAATAATAAGAGTTTTTTAAAAGTTTCTTTCACTTATTAAAAATAACAAGTGGTTTAAAATTAATAAGCAATAATTATAAATAATAAAATCAAATTACATGGATATGTCATATTAAGTCTCTTTTGAAATGCAAATTGTCTATCTTATCACTTTATTATTTAGTATATGTTTCACATTTTAATAATAATATTAAGTGTTTCTTAAAAGTCTTCTTTAACTTATTATTAATAATAAGTGGTTTAAAATTAATGAATAGCAATTGTAAATGATAATAACATCAAATTATAAATTACATTTAGCTATAAATAAATTGCATTTTAAATGAACATCATTATTGAAATTAGAAAATGATCGAATAAGTAAAAATATAATTAATCAATAATAATAATTGTTAAAAATAATACTAAATATATAATTATATTTAATTCTATTAATGAGGAATGTGGGTTGATGTCAATGAATATTATTGTTCAAAATAATTGATATATATATATATATATATATATATATATATATATATATATATATATATATATATATATATATATATATATATATATAGAAAGAGAGAGAGAAATTAGTGTAAAAATATTATCTGAAAGTTAATGTCAATAACATAACAATTTTAAACATATATTTTTCAATATTTTAACAATATATTTTTAATCTTCGCTGTGCAATGCGCGAGAATTCGTCTACTATACTTATAAATTAAAGATTTTTTCTTTCACCACATTAATTTGAAACTCTCATGCATTATTTCCCTTCACCGCAATCATTTGAAACTCCCATAACTTTTCAATTTCCTTCTAATAATAATTATAATTTAGTTAATTAGGTTAAATAAATATCAAACCAAAAGTGTAATCATATATAAACTAAATTTTAATATTAAAATAATATCTTTACTTCTACTTATAAAGTTATGTTTTTTAACTTTTAACATATTATATTAATTTATTAGTTTTAATATATTGTTGGATATAAACCATTATCATTTTAAAGATACAATTTTGGAACAATTTGTATAAAATACTTAAATTATTAATTTAAATATAACATTACAATGTCAACTTAAATATAAATTTTAGTTCCACTTAAAAAACCAAAGAATATTTTTTAAATAGTTAAAAATGATAAATTATAGTGATAATTCAAAAAACTAAATTATAATCTCAATTTAAGTAAAATATTTCCTAAAGATATTTTTATAATTGTTAAAAATTTTCAAATAAGTAGCTTTAAAAAACTTACAATAACAATAGTTAAAAAGAACTCTATATAAATGATTATATTGTTACCTTTAAAATCAAAAAACAATGTTATTTATTTTAAATAATAATGATAAAATTTAAACATTAAGCAAATAAATTTTAAAAAATTAATTAACAATAACAATAATTATAAATAACATTAAACCATATATTATATTTACTTTTATTCATGTGTAACTCGCGGGTAAAGGTTGTTCAAACGATTGAGATTATAAAGTTATAATAGATGTATATATTATCATATAATTCAAAATAGTCAAATATCATATCAATTTAGTATACGAATTATTATATCAAATTTAACAACAAAGTTATTGTTATATTAAAAAATAAACATATATTTGTACAGACTTAAACTATATAGGTGCTTCTAAGCAACGCACGACCATTCGCCTAGTATACTTGTAAAGGAAATATTTTTCCTTTCACCATATTCATTTGAAACTTTCATGACTTTTCAATTTCTTTCTAATAATGATTATAAGTTAGTTAATAAGGTTAAATGAGTATTAAACCTAAAGTGTAATCATATATAAACTAAATTTTATTATTAAAATAATATATTTACTTCTACTTATAAAGTTATCTTTAACTTTTAACATATTATACTTAATTTATTAGTTTTAATATATTGTTGTATGTAAACCATTATAATTTTAAAGCTATAACTTATGAACGGTTTGGATACATACTTAAATTGTTAATTTAAATATAACACTATAGGGTCAACTTAGATATAAACTTTAGTTCAACTTAAACAACCAAATAATATTTTGTAACTAGTTAAAAGTGATTAATTGTAGTATCTTTCTAATAATGTTTATAAGTTGGTTATTAAGGTTAAATAAATATCAAACCTAAAGTGTAATCATAAATAAACTAAATTTTCAATATTAAAATAATATATTTACTTCTACTTATAAATTTATGTCTTTAACTTTTAACATAATAGACTTAATTTATTAGATTTAATATGCTGTTGTATATAAACCATTATTAGTTTAAAGTCATAACTTTTGAACAGTTTGGATAAAATACTAAAAATATTAATTTAAATATAACATTATTGGGTCAACTTAAATATAAAATTTAGTTCAATTTAAAAAACCCAAGGAATAATTTGTGAATACTTAAAAGTGATAAATTATAGTGTTAAATGCAAAAACTAAATTGTAATATATTTTTAACTAAAATATTTCCTAAATATAGTTTTATAATTGTTAAAGTTTTCAAATAAATAAGTTAAAATAATTTACAATAACAATATTTAAAAATAACTCTATATAAATAATTATATTGTTACCTTTAAAAACAAAAAACAATGTTTGATGTTTAAGTATTTGCAATGATAAAAATTAAAACGTTAAGTAAATATATTTTAAAAATTAATTAACAATAATAACTAATATAAATAACATTAAACCATATATTATATTTAATTTTATTCATGAGTAACTGACAGATAGAGGTCATTCAAACGGTTGAGAATATGCAATTTCAATAGATGTATATATTATCATATAATTCAAATAATTAATATATTATATGAACTTACCATATGAGTTATTATATCAAATTTAATATCAACATTATTGTTATATTTAAAAAAACATATATTTGCAAAGATTTCAACTAGTATATATATAAACATTGAGAAAAAACACAATCATTCTATAATAATGATATTAATTTATTAAAGAATACATGTATAAATGAATTTTTGTGAACATTGAATTCAAAAACTAGAAACAAAATCGAAAAAAATAAGTGCATATGCATTTTCCAATATTATATTAGTGCTAAAAAATTATCTCGATGAATCCCTATTCTTTAAAAATACAAATCAATCTAATTAAACATCATGTTAAATTTGAAATTGAATTAATTTTAAAAAATCAGATTTTTTCAATTAAGAAATTAATTATAACTTAAAATATGAATTTCCTTATTTAAATCAAGTTTAATTAACTAAAATACCTTTTTAATGAAATGTAGGTAATTATGTGGTACATGTTATTCCATATTAATAATATGGACCCTGAGATCGTAACCCATTATTTTCTTTTTCCATCCATTGCCTCATAAATATTCTTACGACCACACAATAGATCACATCCATATTATAGCATAATGATTTTTTCAACCGAATTTCAAATGTGCATGCTACGATAGTTTTTAAGGAAATCTCCGATAACTTGTTATTTTCTTTTGAAAAAAATCAAGAATATTTCGTTAAGGACAAAATATAAAATAATCGGATTTTTTGTTAAAAAAAAAAAAAACAATAAATTGACGGAAAATATTAGAGTTTTTCCATGATTTCCATAGTTTTTATATGAGCCCATATATACATTGGAAAATAATATATATGCATCCATATTTAGCATGTACACATAGTTTTTTTGTGATACTTTTAGAAGAGTCATTTTGAATGCATATTTGAAAATTTATGTTAAAATTAAAAGATAAAATTTTAAACTTCTTGATTTTCTTAAAAATACATATTTACTAATTATCAATGTGTCATTTCAATATATATCTAAAACATTTACCTCGACTTAATGTTAACATTCTAATGATTATTTTTTGATGTAAATGCAAAACTGTTCTTCGTAGTTAGCTGAAAACGGTAATTTTGGTTTAAAAATTTTGGATTATCATCAAAGGTCCAAGATTTTCACTTTGTTGCGAGTTTTATACAACTTATATTGAACTTTTTTATTATGACAATTTTCCCTTACTTTTTCTTTCAGTTTTTTATTATTATTTTTATTAATTTCTTATTCAATTTTTATATTAGAATAACTAAGAGAAAAACTATTGATTGTTTATTCCACACCCCATTCCTTCTCTCTCTCTCTCTCTCTCTCTATATATATATATATATATATATATATATATATATATATATATATATATATATATACACATTACAGATGAAGAACATTGAAACTCTAAACTTGCACATTACCGGACCATCACCCTTCTCATTGGACGACCTTCAAAAAAACACCAACACCAGTCGGAAACCGCCACCATAACTGCCATTCTCTATCCAGTATGTCTTTTTTCCTCTCCACCGTCTCTCTCTTTCTCCAATGTTGCCTACACCGGATGTTGAAACATTTCTTTTTGATTTTGTTGGAGTTTTGATATAGAAACCCTTCTTGTCGGTCTTGTTTGAAGATCTCATTGTTGTAGATCTAGAATACAAACAATTTACATTGTCGACGATCTACAAGGCTGATGGTGGCAACATGGATCGGCTCCCCAACAAAGAACTCGACCACCATCTCTAAAGCTCCCCACTAACTTTGGCGACGAACATATCTAAACCACGTAAGGTAGCAATGGAACCTGATGTCGTCGATCGAGGTGGAATCCAAAGTGGTTTTCGGTGAAGTCGATTTACAGGAGGTGGCAGCGCTCTCCTCCCTCCCAAACGATAAAGACGATGGCCACGTCAAGAACAAAGCTGGAAAACACATACACACACGTACACACACACGCGCGCGCACACACACACACACACACACACACATATATATATATATATATATATATATATATATATATATATATATATATATATAGAGAGAGAGAGAGAGAGGAGAGAGAGAGAGAGAGAGAGAGAGAGAGAGAAAGAGAGGGAGAGCCCTTTGTTTTCTGAATTTCCTTGATTTGTAAATGCGACCACCACCACCAGCCGATTAGGGTTTTCTAACGGTAGATCTGAAACCCTCACTTCTTCTAACGAGCATTTTGACAGCTCCGACAATTGTAACAACAAAATAGAGACAAATATATAGAAAAGGTAAATAGGTGTAGACGATGTTCCAATTGAACCAACAAAATAAAAGAAATTAAAAGAGGGTGGCACCGTGCGTGGTGGTTTCCAATAGGTGTAGACGATGTTCGGCGGTGTCAGTGGTTTCCTGCCGTTGGCGATGGTTTCCGGTAACACAATGGAGTGAGAGATATAGATTGGATGTATTTTAGAAATACAATGGGTGAGTGTGGTAGTAGGGGTATGATTAACTTTTATTTTTATTTTCTTGTTTTCTTTTAAAAAAAATCTAATAATTAGAAAAAAATAAGAAAATGGAAAAAGTAATTAATAAAAGTAAAAAAGAAATTTAAAAAATAAAGTAAGAGAAAAATCATCATTATAAAAAATTTCTAAATAAGTTGGACTAAACTCGTAATAAAATGAAAACTTTGAATCTTTGATTATAGTCCAAACCTCTTTGGATTAAAACGATAATTTTTAGCTAACCACATGGACTATTCTTGCAATTTTGTCATTAATTTAATATACAAGGATGTGTTTTTGAATAAACGATTGATCCAATCAAATAAATCCAAATTGATTTCGATTTTTAAGATATAGATTTGAATAATCCAAAATAAATTCAAATATGATCTATTTTCAAGAGTAAAGATAGTTTAGAAAGATATATATATATATATATATATATATATATATATATATATATATATATATATATATATATATATATATATATATATATATATATATACCTTAAGCAGGTGTTTGAGATTATTTTTTAATGTTAAAAGCCATTTTTGTAAAATGACTTTTTAGCTAATGCATTTTTTTAAAAGAAAATCTTTAAAATGTGTTTGTATTTTTTTTTTAATAAAAGTCAAAAATTCCCAAAAGTTACATAAAATAGAATTTTGTGATTTTTGAAACACTAACTTTTCTTTCTACACAAAACCTCATTTTAAAAGATCTTTTTTATCACACAAACATCTTTTGATATATTTGTTTAACTTTTTAGAAAATTAAAAGGGTAAAAGTTGTTTTAAAAGAAATCCCAAACATGCTCTAAGTATTAGCCAACTCTCTAAAATAAAATAAGATAAAAAATATTTGTGAATTATAATCTAAAAAAAACTACTAAAAATAATATATTATAACTTTATATATTACATATAAAAACTTACGAGAAAAAGTCATTTTATAAAGATTTTTTATTGCGTGAGACTTTCTAATCTATTAAAAAACAACTTCCTAAATTAATATATCATTAATGCCATGTATTAATGTTTGTTATATGTTATTTGTTTTTTTGATTTTTTTTAATATAGTGTGCTTACTATATAAATCAAAACAAATTTGAATAGTACTAAATCACTTACCTCCACCTCCATCCGAATTGTTACAAGTTAACGAGAAATTTCCATTAGCACAGTAGCAAGCAAACAAATCAGGCGACGCTGAGTTTGACCCACATTGACCATCCGACCGAATACACCGATCACATTCATTGTTATTCGCCGTCCACTGTAGCTGGAAACCGGCCGTCAAACCTGACCTCAGATCATCTGTTGTAGCAATCGCTGTCGCTAATCGATCTGCTGAAGATTGATTCACCGGTACATGGATGCGATTTTGACACTGATCCAAGAAATTAGCCACGCTGGGGATTAGCTGATCAGTTGTTATGAAATAACCGTCACTTTGGCTCTCATTCACATTACAGTTAAATCTGTAATTAGCGCTCAAAGGTATCACTGTACTACTAGTATTGCAATTGTAGTACAAAGACACATTCCGCCGGTCAAAATTGTCGCCGTTGAACAGCGTCGAGTTGTAGGAGGTGTTGTATAGAAATCGAGGGCAAATGCTTTCCCGGAGATCGTTTCTAGCGATGGTGATCGTCTGTGTACTGGTATCCGAACGCAAAACTCGGTAGTTTACTGATTCGTAATTGAGTAGGGGAACATTCGATGGGCAGATTAGCTGAAAACCAGGGTGGCCGCAGTATGCCGGACGATTTAACCCCCAAAATGGGTACTCTACTGTAATTGCTCCACAATTGACCGATTCGCCACAAATATCAAATGGTCGCTGGGTTTCTTGGCACCAGATGGTTGGGAAATGGACACCGAAGGAGAGAATCACAGTGAAGACGAAGGGGGCTGAGCTCCGGGGTAGACTGGGTTTCATGGTGGTTGGGGTAGAAAGAAAGGAGTTGATGAAGAATGAATTAGAAAGAGGAAGTTTTGAAAAGAACGAAAGCAGGAAGAAGTCTATTGTCAACTCGTCTAAAAAAAAATAAAAACAATTTATGAATATAATGAAAGCATGGAAAAGTCTATCACTCTATTGCCAACTCGTTCAAGAAAGAATAAAAATATCTAAAATTATGAAAATTCAAATCAAAATAGAGCCTTCGATTTGACTTTATTTTTCATCTTAATAAATATGTTTAACAAAAAGTTATTCTTTAAAAACTTTTTCAATAATTTTTTTTTTAGAACACTCTAAATGAAAAACTCGAACACCAAACCAATTAGACTAAAATATTCCATGTCAACGCTATAAGTACGTGTGGATTGTCATCCTGTAAAAATGAAATACAGATTTTAGAGAAGAAATATATAAAATAGAAGTATGTGCTGATGACTTTCTATGTTCACCCACACCACTTTGGTCACTTTTACATGAATTTCCAGGAAAATTAGATAATTCATAATACTGGTTTTATTTCAAAATCTCAGAATTTTCACTTACAGAGAACCAATCTGTTCATGCCACGTGACAGAAAACTTCAACATCTTTGAACTGTGTAGGGTATTCAGAATGGTTGAATTCATTAATTTTCCTTTTGCAACCTAAACATCATGTCAATCAATTAATAAAGTTGCATGGAGTCGTTGGATTGTGGTAATACGAAAGAGGATGGTTTAATGGTTTAGCGTAATCGTGTGTCAGGGGTTGGGCGATCACGGGTTGGTGTAGAGGTGTTGATCAGGTAATTATTTGGGTTTCGGGTAATTCAGATTTTTCATGTTAAAAAAAATACCTGTTATTCGACCTAAATTAAATTCGAGTAGTGGGTCGGATTTGGGTAATTCGGATATTACCCGAAATATATAATTTTTTTTGAATTGCATATGAAAATAAATTTAATGAAATCAATATGTTGTGTATTACCCGAAATATATTAGTTTTATTTATATAAACAAACGAAACATAAACGAAGTTACTCAAGCTTTGAACATTTTGATTTTTTATTCAATAATACTTGAGATATCAAGTAATCTTTTAACATCTTAATCTAATCTAATACGATGTTAAAAAAACAAATACTTGAAGATCTTGGTTTTAAAGTTTAAAATGTTTATGATAATTATAACCATAAGTTTTGTTATGTTCTGAACTTTCGTCAATATAATGAGTTTGTTAGTTGCAATAAAAACTATAATCTATAAAACAATTAAATTTTAAAGAACATGGTGATATATAAACAATTGTTTTTACTATTGTTAGTGTCATATTTCCATAGTAAAAGAGATTCATGTTTTTCAATAATAATAGTTAGTTTAAGCGTGATCAAATATCTGCTACAGGGTATAACCCGAGACCCAACAAACCTACTCTGTACCCGACCTTAAAAAAATTCGGGTTACCCGAATACCCGAAAAATTTTACTCGAAAAAATCGGGCAGGTAATTCGAGTAATGGATATTTTCGACCGGGCTAGGTTGGTGGATTGAAAACATCAACCCGGACTCGACCTGTCTAACCCGTTTAATTATATGGATCCGTGGGTCACATTTGGGTTCATGAATTGGTGGGTTGACCCATGAAGCCGTATATTATTTGCGTACTAGTAAGGACTAGTTGATTTAGTGCACGCAATACGCATAGAGAGATAGGTGTAGTGGTATAATTTAAATCTAATATATTATACGTTGAAGCACCTCCGGAGAGCTTGCTTTAAACTGATAACAACCTTTAAAAAAATTATACGTGTTGGTGGATTGACCAGTGGACCCAATTACAAACTCGGACACCACCTATTTATTTGACGGGTTGTCGGGTTCACCGGTCAAAATCTTAACCCAAATCCGTTTATTTTTATATCGGTTTCGTATCGTATTGTGAGTCGTGTCGAAAATTATCACCCATAAGTTTAGCCAACTGAATGCTCCCACATTTTCCTCTCTTCTCTTCACTTATATCTTATGCATTAAAGCTTGTAATAAAAGGTATGAATTGAAAGGGATGAAAAAAAAAATAAAAATAAATAAAAATAAAAATGTGATAAGGTTGATGTGTCATTCAGGTGACATGTGCAATAAGAGAGGTAAAATGGTTTTGGGTATTAGGCTAGAGGGAATGGTGCCACGCTCCCGCATTTTAACATACTGTCTGTAGGCGCCACATCACATTTAACCACAAAAATATGGTTTCTTGCCACACCCAAGGAGTGGTGTCACATTTTTTTTCTAATAAATAAAAACTATATTTTTAATTAAAAACATAATATTTGATTAATTAAAAATCAAACTCATTAATTAAAAATAAAACTCACATTAAAAAAATCCTAAAAACTTTTAAAAAAATCCTACAACCCATTTGTTTAGTCACTTGAACAAATATAAGCCCTAAAAATTCAATACTTGTCCTCTTTTGCTCAATATGCCAAGCATAATACAAATTAAAAAAATTAAAATGGCAAAATAAATATTCCCTTGGTTTGTTTCATTGTGGGTTTTGTAGCTCAAGAAAATGTCTAAACCAGCCCACAAATAAGAAATAATCCAGCAAGAGAAAGTATACAGAGAGAAGTGTGCGGTAGCAGGAAGCCGTGGAAGGGAGAGTGCAGTTCAAACTGCACACAAGGGATGTTGTGATGCAAGCTGAGGTGGCAGAACGGTAGGTGCTACCCACCCACTCCCTCTGGTTTTATCACCGGCCTAGAACTTATTTGTTTCAATATAAGCTAAAATATAAGGTAAAATATGATTTTTCATCTGTCCCAAATTGATTTCTATCTTTTTTTTTGTTTCAA